AGGCCTCGTCCTAGTGGAGGCATGTCTGGCCACTGACCTGAAGACCCAATCGTCGCCCCCGACCTTGGGATTCTGCCCCCCTAAATCTTCATTGGATGGGATTTTCCCCAGAATTTTTTGTTCCCCAATAAAAGTCCACTCCCTGGCATGTTCTCTCTCTCGCTAGCCTCTTCAGTAAACCTCAGTACCATAATAGGTGGCTGGATGCTGGAGCTAAGAGGAGCCATCCTGGAGCTAGTTTAAAGGTAATTAGAGTCTTATCTCTTTAATTCAAAACTCCCTACAGATTTCTCACGTTTCGAATCTTCATTCATGAAGCCAGAGCTGGTCTCAGGCTAAATTGGAGTCTACTAAGTATAGAATAATGTCATCAGCAAACAGGGATATTGAATCCTTTTCTATTTTTATCTCTTTAATTTTCATCTCTTGCCTGATTGCTCTGGCTAGAGTTTCAAGTACTGTATTGAATAGGAGTGGTGAGAGTGAACATCTGTGTCTTATTTCTGTTTTTAAAGAAAATACTTTCAATTTTTTTCCACTTAGTATGACATCAGCTTTGGGTTTGATATATATAGCATTTGCAATGTTGACACAAGTTTCTTCTATTCCTAGTTTCTTCAGTGTTTTTAACATGAATAGGTACTGAATTTTGCTAAAGGGTTTTTTTTAATAGTTAGTGAGATGTTTATGTAATGTTTTTTTTCTAATTCTATTTATGTGATATATTGCATTTACCAATTTTCATATATTGAGCCAATCTTGCATCTCTGGATGGAACTGATCTTCTTAATGTGTTTTTGAATGTAAATTGCTAATATTTTATGAAGGATTTTTACATCTATGTTCATCAGGCATACTGATCTATAATTTTGTTTCCTTGATGTGTCTTTATCTGCTTTGGTATCAGGGTGATATTGGCTTCATAGAATCAGAACACCTTTCTTGTCATTACCTAATGTATGACTCTAATGTATATTTGATACAGAAAAATTATGAAATCTTAACCATAATAAGCTACAAGTTAAAATAATCCATATGCCTAGACCAGAAAAACTTGTTGCATTTCATTCTAGTCTGGTATACTCTACCTCCTGCAGACTGAATGCTGCACATTTCTCCTTCTCTCCTCTGTTTCCCTCAGATGATGAACACAAGCTTCAGTGACCCCCTGCACTGCTCTCTCCAAATGCCATTTTCTAGATCAGTTGGCTCTCTGCCCCCAAAAATGCATTTGTCACTTTTTCCTGCCTTCTTGCATCCCATTACTACATCCCCATTCCTCACCCCTAGAGGATGAAATTCTTTCTCTTTTCACATGAGAAAAAAGTAGGACTCAGGTAAGGACTGCCTCAGAATCCCCTCAGAGCCTGCACATTTGAAACTGTCCCACCAGTGATGGTGGATGGTCTGTACTCTACACCTGGGAACGAGGTTGGCCCCTCACTCCCCTGCACCTTCACTTTCCACTCTCTGGGGCTTACTCATTCCTGCATTAATCATATTGCAACATCTCCCATTAAAACCAACATAATTAACTTCATTATTTTAAACAAAATCGCTCCTTAAAAAATCACCACCTGACCCTATGTCTCCCTCTCATTACTGCCTCATTTCTCTGATACACCTTATAGAGTGACATCTGAGTTCTTTCTCTCATGTTGTCTTTTTAAATATTGATTTTTTCCTAGTAGAATCATGGCAGCATTTCCAAGTTCAAATGTTTCTACAAGGTTTGCTATAAAGACAAATGGCCCCAGTCTTCCATGTAGCCCCCATTTCCTAATCCCCAGAAGTAGCCTGCTTTACTGTTTTGCCTGGTGCTGTCATTGCTACCTCTGTGCCTAAATAGAATGCAAATAAGACTCATCTTTAATTTTTCAGTTTCAAGTTGCACTCTTAGTGGACAGCTTCCATTCACAGGCACCATTCTCTCAACAATCATTCTATCATTTTGATTAGATCGATGTTATTTATATTGACTATGCAAGTGTTATTCACAACTAGACTTGTAGCTTTCATTACTTTGTTGCCTTGAACTGAATTTAACTTCCCTGCAGTCAATAAAAATGTTCTTCCTTCATTTGTTTAGTTTCTATTGTTCTCACTCCTGGAACATTCTCAAACTCTCCCCTAGAGTCTCTTCTATGGTTTGAATATGTGCTCCAAAGTTCACATGTTGGAAACTTGATATTCAAATGTGGTGGTGTGGGGAGATGGGGCCTAATGGGAGGTGGGTATGAGGGTCCCGCTGTCATAAATAGATCAGTCAGTACTGTTACCTTGGAAGTAGGTTGGTCCCTCCTTACCACTCTTGCTCTCTCTCTTGCCCTTACACCTTATAATATGAGTATACAGCAGGAGGGCCCTAGCCAGATACCAGTGCCTTAACCTTTGACTTCCCAACCTTACTAATGGTGAGAAAATAAATTTTTATTCTTTAAAATTTACTCAATATGTGGTGTTCTCATGTAGCAGCCCAACAGACTAAGACAGTCTCCATGAATATATTCAGGTATATCTAGGATTCCTCTAATTCGATCTTTGTTAAGACACCAGTCCTAAAACTCTCAGTCCTGACAGACCTGGACTGGATGCCTTCACAACTGGATAGAGGCTGACTCCCTGGATCTCCTTCACCTCAGGGGGAACACACTTGGCCTCCATCTCTTGTGCTGGCTCCTTTTAACTACGTTTCACATATCCCCTTTTCTTGGTTTTCCTCCATTATTTTTGTTTCTCACTTCAGTTGGCCATATCCTAGAGAAATATAGAAAAGAAAATATTGAAACCCTAAAAATCTGAAATATCTTTAGGACACCCTAGCTCTTAGTCCAACTTTAACTTAGTACAGAATTCTGTGTTAAAAATATTTTTACATTGAATGCATATGATATTGCTTCAACATTTTCTAGCTTTCCAAAGCTGCTTTTCCTGCCTCTTGAAAGGTTCAGGGTTTTTTCTTTTCTACCTGCTTTCTGAAATTTCATTGCAATGTATCTTTGCATGGGTAAGTTTTCGTTTGTTATCAGGCAGTTCAAATGTAATTTGGGGGGATTGTAAACACTGAGTCATTTTCTTAAGATTTGAAAATCATTGTTTACTCTTTACTATTTTGGAATTGATATTGTTCAATTGTTGGAAATCCTTTATTGACAGGCTTGTTCTCTTATAAAGTCTTCCTTACCACTATTTTACTAGGTGTAAGACTTCTTTTCTGGTACTAATTTAGTTGTCCAAATCATCTATAGACTTATTCATTTCTGTGACCAGTTTTAAATTTTTAACAACTTATTTTTGTTTTTTTCTGCATATAATTATGTATAATTCCACTACTTGTTCACAAATACCATATCTTTCTACATGTTGAAGCAATTATCTAGAGTAGTGGCAGTGAATCAAGGGAAGAGGATGGAACCAGTTGGGGTCTCTCCACAGTTTACTCAGAGCAGCAATTCTCAAAGTGTGATTTGTGGAACCCCCAGAGGTGTTTAGACTATTGCACAGGATCCATATTATCAAAAATTATTTTTATAATATCACTAAAACATTGTTTAAAATAAAGTAAAACTCAGAAAATTGGAAGTTATGGTACCAAACTGCAATAGTAGTTATTGTGTTCTTGAACACTTTTAACTGTAGAAGGGAAAACATTCCAGTTCACTTAAATATGTCCTGAAGTATTAAAATCGTTAAATTTATTAAATTGCCATTCACGGTGCACGTTATAAATATACTTATTTGATAGAATGGAAATACACATAAAACACATCTGCTACATTCAACCATAGGGAGTTTGCATCAACAAAAGCCATTTGTTGAGTTGTACTGGCCTCAACTTTATGGAATACCATTCGTGCTTAAAAGAATGAACGACAGGGGAAGTATTACTTACACTTCAATATTCAGCCAATATTCTAAAAAATTACCTCAACATGTCCCTTTGAGATAATCCACTGACATCAATATATTCAATAATAACATGTATGCTCTCAAGAGGAAAAGAGAATCTGAGCAAACCTGCATCCACCACTATCAACCTGTAGACATCCAAGTACTTGCAACACTTTCTGGGGAAATTTGTGGTTATATCAAAATAATCAACATAAGACCTATTGGTTAATTTCACTTAAATCTGTTAACACTAGAAGGTCTATATAGCTTGGTCAAAGGATGCATGACTTTAAAAAATGTCATTCACTAGCACAAGATCGATTCAATGTGCAAGACACATCCACAGACTTTAATGGATAGAATATGAACTATTCAATGACAATGTTTCATGGTCCTTGTGGCAAAAAACTTTTAAGAAGCTAACATTTGTGTCATTTTAGTGTAGTATCAAAGACGAATATTGGAAACGTTATTAAAAACATTCCTCCTATATATTTGTGTGAGGCTGCCTTTTTTTGTTTCAACCAAAGTCACAAATTAAGGGCTGAAAATATGAATATCTAGCATTCTCTGATGACAAATAAAAATGCTTTCCAAATTGTAAAAAGTAAAATGATGCATTTTTCCAATTAAATATTTTAATTTGAGAAAAGTTATTTTTCTTTGAAACAGTAATTTTTCTTTGGTGCTGAAATTTTTCATGCAATTAGTTAAGTTAACATGCAATTAGTTATTAACATTCAGGAGAAATAAAAATATCTGAAAAAATGGCATTAACTTCTAATATGCCAAATATTGATAGACATAACCCACATAAATCTACCTACCTCTGGAGTGCACACTACTTTCTAAGAGCATATAAAGATCCTGAAACCAAAATGTTTGAGAACTGCTGATTTTACACCCTGAGGCAGAAATCAAGGGATGGTGAGACAAAGAATGATTAGTAAGGAGGAGGGTTCAGGGCAAACTCCCAGCCCTGGGCGTGGCTCTCAGGGTCTAGAGCTGTGTCTGGGGTGTGGACAGGGAGCGCTGAGGATTCCCTGTCTTCTCTGAGTTTCACTTTTTCTCCTTCCAACCTGGTCCAGGTCATTCTGCCTGGGCACTCCTGACTGGTCCACAGTTCTCACTCCCATGTCGTCTTCTCCTAAAGAAGCCAATCTTTGTCACTGCGGTTTGAATTTTAAAGTCCACAGCGACCTCCCCCCGCCCCCACTGCAAGTCGCAGAATCTCCACATTGCTGCAGGATGAGGGTGCTGGCGCCTCCAATGCTGCTCCTCCTGCTCTTGGGGGCCTTGGCCCTGAGGAACACTTGGGCGGGTGAGCACAGGATTGAGAGGGAAATAGCCTCCAGGTGGGAGGAGCGAGGGGACCATCCAGTGAGCACTAAGGACCTGGGGAAGGTGCGTCCCGCCGCCCCCAGCCCAGACCCTCCCCATCATGGCGCGGTCCTTCCCTTCCCTCCCCTCCCGCCCCTATGTCCTGCCCTTCTGCTCCCACAGCCCCCTTAGCGACTCTGGACCCCGCTCCTCTCCTCCTGGGGTAGTCAACCTGGGACCTGGTTGGGTGGTCTCAGCGGCTCCCTTCCCCAGGCTCCCACTCCCTGAGGTATTTCGACACCTCCGTGTCCCGGCCGGGCGGGGAGCCCCGCTTCATCTCCGTGGGCTACATGGTCGACATGCAGTTCGTGGGCTTCGACAGCGATGCTGAGAGTCTGAGGATGGAGCCGCGGGCGCCATGGATGGAGAAGATGGGGCCAGAGTATTGGGAACGGGAGACACAGACCTCCAAGTGCAACTTACAGAGTCACCAAGTGAGCCTCAACACCCTGCGTGGCTACTACAACCAGAGCGCAGGCGGTGAGTGACCCCGTCCCCTGTAGGAGGTCGCGACCCCTCATGTCCCTCACAGAGGATCCCGAGTCCTCAGGATTTCCGGGCCGAGCTTCACCCCAAGGCTGAGGGACTCGCGGGGACCCTCTACCCAAAAAGCACCCTTGGGCACTGTGACCGGTTTCGTTTTCAGTTTAGGAAAAAACCCGCAGGGTGGGCGGGGATGGGCCATGGCTGACAGGGCCGGGGACAGGCTCTCACACCTTCCAGAGGATGTATGGCTGCGACGTGGGGACGGATTGGCGCCTCCTCCGCGGGTACCTTCAGGACGCCTATGATGGCGCGGATTACATCGCCCTGAATGAAGACCTGAGCTCCTGGACCACCGCAGATGCGGTGGCTGAGATCACCAAGAGGAAGTGGGAGGCAGCTGGTGACGCAGAGAGCTTCAGGGCCTACCTGGAAGGAGATTGCTGGAAGTATCTTGCAGGCTACCTGGAGAAAGGGAAGGAGTCGCTGCTGCGCACAGGTATGAGCAGCTGCTGAACACCTGCCCCATCTCCTGTAGATCTCTCTAGCAGTTCCCAGGAGGAGGGGAGGAGAATGGTGCCCACTGTAGAGCATCTCCCTGCTCATAGTCCAGAGGGGAGGGTGTGAGCGTGGATTCCCAAGTTCTGTACTAGAGAGGAACTGAAGGCTGCTTTCTCTAAGGACAAGGAAGGGATCTGGTCGCTCTCTCCCTGGCTGGTGGGAAAGGCAATAAATACCTGACCACAGGTTCCCATCAGCAGTCTTGGCATCAAGGATAGACTGTCAGGTTCATTCCAGCCTAACATCCTTGGAGGTCTGACTCCAGCTTTTCCACATGTCCCAACCTCTATCAAGACCAGAATCTGAAGTCTCTGTCAGGGACCTGAAGACTCTTCCACTGGGTATTCTCAATCTGATTCTAGAACTTTCCAAGGAATAGATTGTGCCAAAGCCTGCATCCTGGCTTGTGTCTAGATTTTGTGCTCTCTTGCCCACCTGAATCATGTTGTCTATCACTCAGGATGGTCATGTGATAGTCATGTGAGCACTGCTTCAGTGGCCCAAGAGGAAATGCCAAAATGTCGGAATTTCCCTGTTCTTTCCCTCAGACCCCCCGAAGACACATGTGACTCACCACCCTATCCCTGAAGGAGATGTCACTCTGAGATGCTGGGCCCTGGGCTTCTACCCTAAGGAGATCACCCTGACTTGGCATCGGGATGGAGAAGACCAGACCCAAGACATGGAACTTGTGGAGACCAGGCCTGCAGGGGATGGAAACTTCCAGAAATGGGCCGCTATAGTGGTGCCTGCTGGGGAGGAGCAGAGATACACCTGCCATGTGCATCATGAGGGGCTGCCTGAGCCCCTCACCCTGAGATGGGGTAAGGAGGGATGAGGGCCCAGAGCCTGTTGTCAGGAAAACAGGAGGCTTTCTGGAGACCCTCAACAGAGTAGGGACTGAGAGCTGGGGATCAGGTCCCCTCATCTTAACTTCCCTTCCCCTCCCAGAGCCACCTCCTCAGCCCACCATCCCCATCTTGGGAATTGTTGCCGGTGTGATTCTCCTTGGAGCTGCTGTCACTGGAGCTGTGGTCGCTTTTGTCTTGTGGAAGAAGAAAAACTGGTAGGAAAAGGCAGGGTCTGAAATTTTGTCCCACTGGTGGCTTGAAGTACCTGGTAGAAGTGTGTTTTAGCCCATGTCCCACATGGGCTACAAAAAGCCAGTTCACTAGGGTGAATTGGGCTGGCACGACAAAACACACAAACATTTAGACTTTTGGGGGGCGTTTCAGAATGGTTCTTCTGTCTCAACTGCAAAGCTAACACAAGTAAGGGCAAGAGAAAAGCAAGGGAGGCAGGCAACAGAGAAGGAGCATGCCCCAAACCTTGGTTTTTATTGGGGGAGGGTGTTCAGAAGAACATTTCATCCAAATAAGGCAGAAAGGGTAGTGTTAAAGGAGAACAGGGTAACATCCACTCCCAGAGCTGCAGTCCCCAGGCTAGCAAAGGTGAGGTCCACCAGCTTTTGTGCGCAACAGAAGCCAGTTCCACACCTCCATCCCTCAAGGCTAAGGTGTTGTGCTCAGTTCCTACGTGGCAGTTCCTGATAATGTTCCCTGCCTTGTTAATGGGAAGTAATATCTATATGTGTCCTTATCCAACATGGTATCCCATTTACTCTCTGTAAATTGCACAGAAATTAAAGGACAAATATATCCTTGTTTTTTGTGGTGATAGGGGCCTGATTCCCAGCATTTAGAGGCCAGAGGGGAATTTTCCTGGTGAAGACAGAACTCCAGGAAAGTAACTATCTTCATCCTTACCTATCTGTTTTCTTCTTGTCTCCTGATCCTTTCCTACATCTACAGTCACAGTTCTGGAGACTTCCCCAGTGTCCAGGACTAGGGGGTACCTCTCAGACCTGTTTCCAAGCTGCTCTCTCACAGGCGACTTTCTTCCCACAGGTGTAAAACCAGACACCTATGCTCCAGCTGCCTGTAAGTATGAAGAACACTGATCTCTGAGACACCTGGGTAACTGTAGTGGAAAGCCATGGGGGAGCTGATCCACCCATAATTCATCCATTAGCCACGTCTCCTGTGGACTCTGACCATGTTCTGTTTTTGCTCTGCTCAGGTAATGAAAGTTCCCAGGGCTCTGATGTGTCTCTCACTGGTTAAAAAGGTGAGACCTTGGAGGGCCTTGAGGGAGAAGAGTTGAGGTATGGGGAGACTCTGAGTTACAGGGACTGTCCCAGCAATTTCTGATATTTTAAGTATTTAATGGGTTGTTCAGAGTGTCTTCATTGCAATGACTTATCTGAATTTGTTCATAATACTTTCTTTTACAGTATTTTCTTTCAACTGAGTAATACAGGATTTCTTCAGTTCTCTTCCTGCTCCCTGCTGCAGTTTCAAGAGGTCCCAACTTCTCTTTGTGCAGCTGGCAATTAACTGTGTCTATGTGTCTGTGTTCCTGTCATCAGATTATAAGGAAATGGAGACAGGCGCTCGTCTTTGATCACCAAGACCCCTCCCTACACTGTCCTGTTCTCTTCCTCAATTAACTTTCCTATGAAGCAAATACAGGTCTGGGACGTCTTCATTCCTGGTAGCTTTATGTTGCCCTGGGCTCTAGACTTTTCCTTGCCTTTTGGAAAAGAGAATGTGTATATTGATTTGTATTTCACATTTGTGCCATGAATTATGGTTGTGGGTTAATTACATGAAAAGAGGATTCCTCAAATTTCTGAGAGAAAATAAAACCCCAAACCTTCCAGAATCCACATGTTTGCTGTGCTGACTCTGCCTCAGGTGGGGACAGGAGAAAGATGAAAGGAGCTGAAGGTGGACAAAGCAGCACCCAATCTGTGATAGTCTATCCTGGGTTTGATGTGGTCACTCCTCAGCTGGATCATCTTCCCTGGTCCTTAGACCCATTCATTCAACTGAACCTCATCCCACCAGGACCTGTGATGACAGGGGCTCAGGCATCACCAGGGCAGGTCCTGTCTCCAGGACCATGAGCAGGGAGGGCATCACATTGAGTGGGTTAACGTAGGCTGAGACCTGAGTCTGACCTTGTGCTCCCATCTTTTTTTGTTTCTCAGTTTCTATGGAGAATTATCCCTATTCTTATTATTAAGTATGAGTTCTGGTCTCATTCTTCTTTGGGTGTCTCTCTTTGAGAGCAGCAGAAATCCTTTCTCCTGTCATTGTCCCACAAAACCCAGGGCAGTTTTCTGGATTATATTTTCCATCATTTCTGCAGTATTTTTAAAGGGACCAGATATGAGAGTCCCAGAGAAGAAGGATCTTATGATTTCTCATCCTAGATAAATTCCTCTTAGGTTTTCATTTTCTCCATCCAGCAGTTTCACTGTCCTTAACAAGATTAATTCTAGAACTTGCTCCAAAAATATGCAAAAAGCAGTATATATCTGTCCATGGTGGTTTTATCATGTCATGGGAAATTAAGGTTGGTCTTTTGTTTTACAATAAAACAAAAATCCATATCACCACATTAACAGAATGATGGTGAAAATCATAAGTTCATTCCAAAGGATGTAGGAAAAGCATTTTTTTTAATTCAATATAATGTCAAGTTAAAATCTCTAGGGCTCTGAGTATTGAAAAGAACATTCTCAACAAGATTAGGGAAAGTAAAAAAATTCTACCATTAGAATTTGTTTCAGTGATAAAAGGCTCAACACTTTCTTTTTGGGATCAGCAACTGTGGGAGGCCATCCTTGCACGTGATTTGAGTTACCTCCCTGGCTGGGTGAGAGGCACTTAAACACAGCTGTGTCTGAGCCATTCCCCACCCTTGCCCAGGTCTGAGTGTTTGTCCGTACAGAGGCATGCCTGGCCACTGACCTGAAGACCCAATCATCGTCCTTGACCTTGGGATGCTGCCCCCCTTAACCTTCATTGGATGGGATTTTCCCTTGAATTTTTTGTTCCCCAATAAAAGCTCATTCCCTGGTGCTCACCTTCTCTTGCTAGTCTCTTCTGTAAACCTTTCCACTGCCACCCACTGCAGTAGGTGGCTGGAGGCAGGAGCTAGGAGAAGCCATCTGGGAGCTCTGTTAAAGGTAATGAGAGTCTGTCTCTTTAATTTAAAACTCACTAGCAATTTCTTATGAACTGAAACTTCTTTCATGAAGCTTGCACTCCTGTGGCAAGCAACAAAGTTAAAGTGTTGGATCTCAGCATTTTTTATGTAACTTAATTCTGGATCACAGCCAGCACAACATCACAAAGGCACAAAGGAGCCCCTGGTATACAGCTATGTTTAAATATGCTAGGCAAATGCTGGAGGTTTCTTGATTAGAACTCAGTTTTAGTTCTCTTCCCAGAATAGTTTGATTTCTTGGTTCTACACAGTGAGATCTGTTTTGCACTCTTGGTGATCCACTATTTTTATCTCAATGAAATGCAGTCTGTGTTTGCAATTCCATAAGTTCTTCACTGCTTCTTGCTCAGAGAACTAGAGGGCTCTATAAGTATCTTTGAATTTTGCACTGTCTCTGTCCCTTACATTGAAGTTCTGTTTCTCCTAATCAAGTTTCTCCTAAAAAGCCTCTTCAAAGTCCTTTAAGGTATACCCATTGCCCTGTTCCAATGCTACTCTCCGTCCTTTAAAGTTTTTGTTTTTGTTTCTGTTTTTTTTTTTTTTTTTTTTTTTTTTAAATGATGGGACCACAGTTGCTTGGAAATGTCTGTTGTAGATACTTATTGCTTGAAAAAATCATAACAAAATATTTTTTCAACCTTTAAAAAAGAGAAAAATTTTAATTTGCAATAACTGGATGATTCAGGAGGACATTATACTAAATGAAATAAGCCAGGTACAGAAGGAAAACCCCACAACTAGGCACATAGGGGTTCTTTCTCCCCCTCCCTCCAATGCTTTTAGAATGAGCATTGGCCTAGCAAAATCTACCATGGTCACATGTGCCCCATCCTCAGAGACCAAGAGCTTTGGGTGAGCAGTGACCAGATCCAGGATCACTTCTCCTACTGAAGAGAAACCAAGGACACGAGCTCTGTAGTAATCTGTTACCCACTTTTCTCCTCCATGTGATAGGAAAATTCCTATGATTATTAACAAACACTATATAAACAACTTAAATTCTCACAGCATCCTGCACTATACAAAGAACACATTTAAATGCTGAAGGCCACTGTGAGCCACAAGAAGGCAAAGTCAGGAGAGAAAGCTGAGCCTAGGAAGATGAGGGGGTTTGTGTTGGGTCATAGCTACCTTAGATATAAGAACAGCTCTAAGGTGACCAGTGGAGGGCGCCCTGACTTTTCCTGTTTCCTTCATTTTCCACTTGAGGAAAGAGGGCTGTTTCTGTATTTTTATCCTTTAATTTCCCTCATTCAGTTTCTGTGCCTGCAGCTGCAGAAGCCATTACTGACTGATGTGGATACCTCCCCCAACAGCTCACAAAACCCTGGCATCTTAGGTCTCTCTCCCAGTCATGACCATGTCCTGTGAAATACACACAACAGTTTAAAAAAGTCACATGTCTGAATAATTATTGACTTTACCAGAGTATCTCATTTTTATGTTTGTGCTATTTTAACCACAGTCACTTATTTAACCAAGTGAACATTCAGTACAACAGTCAGCGTCATCCCCATTGTATACAAGATGAAGCAGAGACACGAAGGGCTCAGAAACTTTCCCAGGGTCTCACAACCCACAAATGATGGAGCCAAGATCCAAAACCAAGCAGTCAAACTCTAGAATTCCCATAGTGAGCCAGGATCCTGAGCTGTCATCAATAATTGGTATAATTCACCAGTAAAGTCATTTGGAGAAGGGTTTTCTTTGTAGGTATTTTTATAAAATATATTATTACTAATTCAGTGTCTTCACTTGTTCTAGTTATATTCAGAATGTCTATTTCTTCTTAAGTCAACATTATTAGTTTCTTGTCTATCTACCATTTGTCCATTTTATGTATGCACTCTAATTTTTTGGCACCCAATTTTTCACAGCAGAGTTCAAATTGTTTTTATTTTTGCAAAGTAAGTAATATTGCATCCTCTCTCTTTTCTGATTCTAATTCTTTTATTATTCTTTTATTTAGTGTATCCAGCTAACAATTTGTCAATTTTTGTTCATCTTTTCAAAGTATTCTTTTTGGTTCCATTGATAGCTTCTCTGTTCTTTATTATTTTCTACTATTTCTTGGTATTATATTCTGCTATTTCTTCACTGTTTTGTTTTCTATACCTGTTTGGGGTTTAGTTTGCTCTTCCTTTTTAATGCAGGCATTTACAGATATAAATTTACTGCTATGAATTTCACTCTAAGTGCTCCTTTATTAGTGTCTCATAAATATGATGTATTTTTTCTTTATTTTCATTAATTTCAGAGTGTTTCCTAGCTTTATTTTAATTTTCTTAAGCCATTGACTATTCTGGAGTGTTTTTAAAGTTTCCATACATTTGTGATTTTCCCTACTTCTTGTATTATTTGATTGATTACTAATTTCATTTTATTGTGGTCAGAAAACATTTTTGTATTATTTCTTTTTTTCCATAAATGTATTAAGGTAAAATTGAAGTACAATAAAATGTACATATTTGAAGTATGCAATTTGATCAGTTTTGACATCTATGCAACCTATACAATCAATATAAAAAGCATTTGCAAAGCTTTATTAAAAATATGAAATTGGGCTGGGGATGTGGCTGAAGTGGTAACACACTCACCTGGCATGTGCGGAGCACTGGGTTCGATCCTCAGCACCACATAAAAATAAAATAAAGATATTGTGTCCACCAAAAACTAAACTAAACTAAAATAAAATAAATTCTCTCTCTCTTTAAAAAAATATGAAATCATGCAGACTGTGTTTCCTGCATGATTTATTACATTAAAAACCAATCACCTTAAGATCTGTAGAACCCCACCCTTACAGGTCAACTCTCTTCAAAATCATACATCACACTTATGAATATCTCAGAGGTCAAGGAAGAAAGCAGAGAAAAGTAAATAAAAAGTGCTTTGAACTAAGTGATAATGAAAGCTTAATGTATCAAGATTTCTGGGATGAAACGGCACTCAGATAAGCATTTATAACTTACAGTATTTGTATCAGAAAGAAACTAGCTTAATAATCAGATTATTTTCAAATTATATAGTAGGGAGGAAAATTTAAGAGTAGGACCAGAAATATATAAACTAGAGAAGAAATAATACAGCTAAAAGTTGATAAAAATCAAACAAGTCTAATCAAGAAAAAAGCAAGAATGCAAAAATTAATATCAATGGAAAGAGAGCTATCAAAATCACCCTACAGATGCTAAAAATATGTTGAATTAATATTATAATTGCATGCAAACATATATGATAGCTTACATAACATGGTCTGTACTAGAGAAGGATCCATGTGCTACTGAGAAAAAGGTGTATTCGCTGATGATGGATGAAATATTCTATATATGTCTGTTAAGTCTAAATTATCAATTTTATTTTTACTTCTATATCTTCTTCATTTAGCATTTGTTTGGAGGAGCTGTCCAGTGGTGACAGAGGCATGTTAAAGTTCCCCAGTATTATTGTGTTATGGTCTATTTAATTCTTGAAATTGAGAAGGGTTTGTTTGATGTATGTAGATGCTGATGCTCCATTGTTTGCAAAAATATTTATAATTGTTATGTCTTGTTGATATATAATTCCCTTGAGCAGTATAAAATGGCCTTGTATGTCCCTTCTGATTAACTTTGGCTTGAAGCTCACTTTATCTGATATGAGGGAAGAAGCCCCTGTTGTTTATACATCCTTGTGAAACTTGACTTAGTTTCTCCTTTGATTGACATTTCCTTTAGTGTAGTTCCTCCCTTTGCTGGTTTTCAGTGGTTTTTTTTTTTCATTTCCTTCTTATGGAATATTTTGTTGAGTATATTCTGTATTGCAGGCTTTCTAGTTGTGAATTCTTTTAACTTTTGTTAATCATAGAAGGTTTTTATTTCATCTTCAAATCTGATGCTTAATTTTGCTGGACATAGGATTCTTGGTTGGCATCCATTTTCTTACAGAGCTTCAACCATGTTGTTCTAGGACCTCCTAGCTTTAAGGGTCTAGATTGAGAAATAAGCTGAAATCCAAATTGGTTTCACCTATATGAAATATGATATTTTCCCTCTCTCAACCTTTAAAATTCTATCCTTATCCTGCATAATAGGCATTTTCATTATATTGTGCCTTGGTGTGGGTTTGTTGTGATTTTGTACATTTGGGGTCCTGTAAGCCTCTTGTATTTTATTTTCTATTTTGTTCTTTATGTTTGGGAAATTTTCTAATATTATTTCATTGAAAAAAAAATTGTTCATTCCCTTGGTTTTTATCTCTGCACCTTCATCTATCCTGATAAATCTTAAATATTTTCATGTTATCCCATAGATCTTGGAAGGTCTATTCATGGTTTCTCAACATCTATCTATGGTCAAATGAGATTTCATAACCCACTTGAATCAAATGTATGAAATATGATATGTCAAGAACTATGTAATGTTTTGAACAACCAATAATAAAAAGTAAAAAAAAATAAAATAAAAATTTAAAAAGTTTGCTCCTAAGAATAGAAATATATTCAAAATTCAAAAAAAAGATTATATATTTTGTATTTATTGCATGAGTTTCTGTCTTTGAAGTGCTCTAGTCTGTTGGTGATGCTTTCTAATGAATTTTTAATTTCCTTCATTTTGAGATTTCTACTTTTTTTCAGAGTCTCTTCCTCTTTATTGAAGTGATCTTTTATTTCTTGTATTTTCTCTCTGATTTCATTCCTTATAACATCCTTTACTTTACAAATCAGATTAACTATATACTTTCTAAGCACCTTTCCTAACATTTTTTCCACTGTGGTGTCAATGGATTTGGTTATTGGAGTATCTTGGTTTGTTTGGGGTGATTTGTTCCCTTAATTATTCATGTTGTGTGTGTGTCTACCTAATGGTATGGATCTGAGGTGATAGAGTTTCTACCCTATGGACTTATAGTGTCACTGAAGATTTCTAATACCTCACTGTTTATGGGGAGAAAATAAATAACAACAACCAATGCAAACAGTTTACATCATTAAACAAAGTATTTTTTACTAGGATGTCTACATTGTTAATTATCACAATAAACAGAAATGATATGACCAGTTTATGCCTATAATAAAAAACAGAAAGTTCAGAGCTGGGGCTAGGTCTCAGTGGTAGAGAATTTGCCAAGCCCAGGTGAGACACTGGGTTTGATCCTTAGCACCACAAAAATAAATAAATAAAAAATATTTTAAAAAACTTGCAAGTTTGCAAAAATGTTTACATTTTCAAGTAGTGGACAGGGAAAGAAAAGAAGTGATATTGGATGTGATAATTGTGAGGGAGGAGGAAAGAGGAAATAACAAATTAAAGAAGAGTGAAAGAGAAAAACAATAGAGATTGGCTGTTAGCAGAAGAAAAGACCAAATTAAGGAAAACTGGTAGGAGAAAAAATATATAACAAAATTTTTTAAAATTTTTAAATAAAAGAATATTTTAAAAACCTAAAGTATGTTAGTTCAGAAAAAAAACTAATCATGAAAAATAACTGGCTTCA